ATATGAAGAACCTCAGAAATGAACTCAATGTCTATCATCCCCTCACTCCAGATGTTAAGGTTCAGCAACAACAGAGGGAACAACTAGATGTCACTGGGTTCTTAGTGGGGTTTAAATCAGAATATGAACCAGTTATGGCCCAAATATTGGGAGGCTCTACTCTTCCTACACTTGAGGAAGTTTTTGCACGGCTTCGTAGGATTTCTTTGGGACCTACAGAGAATCCCACATAGTCTGACAGATCAGCACTTGTGATAGCCAGAGGAGGTGGGCGTGGTATTAGAGGGGGAGAACATGCCTCCCGAGGAGGTTGTGGTGGTTCCGTATTTGGCCGTGGTGGTGGTCATGACTTAGGGGGAGGCCATGGTAAAGGAAAAAGTAACTCTACAAGGAAGTGCACCCATTGTGGCAGGGATGGACATTCGGTGAATTTTTGTTATGATCTCCATGGCCCTCCTTCTACATGGGTGCAGTAGCTGGTGGGGTTGATGTCAGTGATAACAAACAGGCAGATCTAACACCTTCCACATCTACATCTATTTCTGAGAAGGAGATGGTGAGTGTACCGCGTGATGAGTATGAGAGGTTCCTCCAGGCTACTTCACAGCATACTACAGCCACCCTTGCCCACTCAGGTATAGCTTGTCTGGCATCCAAACCCTCTCCCTGGATTATTGACTCTGGAGCCTCTGATCACATGACCGGGACTCCAGGTGTGTTCTCTTCCCTCTTTGAAACTTCCACATCTCAAACTGTTACCCTTGCCAACGGTTCCTCTTCTCCCATCTGTGGCGTTGGTAATGTTGACACAACTTCTCTTTCTTTATCATCTGTTCTATATGTCCCTAAGTTTCCATTCAATCTTATGTCTGTCAGTAAATTAACCAAGACTCTTAATTGCTCTATTACATTTTTCCCTTCCTTTTGTGTTTTTCAGGATCCAAGACGGGGAAGAAGATTTGTGGGGGGCATGACGCTGGTGGATTGTGAAGAAAACTGAAGAGAAGAGAGTTGAGGGTTCAACAATGAGGGTCTGAGAAGAGGATTTTGAACTCACTCTCTCTCAGCCCCCTAACGCTGTTTTATTAGAAATATTTGAATAATTACAAGGAGGCCCTTAGTTGGGCAAGAATTTACACAGAACTTAATATTGATAGGATGGA